TGGTACCCCATCCACCTCTTTCCACTTGTGGAAATGCTCCCTTTTATACACTTACCTCTATATATAACACAAATAACCAATCTGGAGCTCAGACTGCCCCCTAGTAGCTTTCTCACCCATTTTAATGGGCTTGGATGCCATTTCTTTCTTTTGAACCAATATTTCAAGGAGGTAGAGTGTCTTTAGTTTGCTCAAAATGTCATATTTTTTTAGACTAAAATACATCTTGGTTACTGAGCTTGATAAATTATAGTAGAATTCTATGGTATTGATATAGTAATTTATCATTTTTTTAGTTATTCAAATGTATAAATAAAATCTAAAAAAAAATTTTTTGTTTCATATCCTCCATGTGCAAAATTTGTAAAAGCTTAGCAACCTATGTCAAGCAGCAACCTAGTAAGAGGTCATAACTAGAAGAGATAAGTGTTCGCTTTACTTCTATATTTACTGTTCTACATTTTAAGAAAAATATGTTTAAGAACTTGTTTCAAAATAGCAATAATCTATATATCATTATATATCTATATATAGTATAATAATTGAAATGTGACTGTATTTCACAAAATACTAGTTGACTAAAACACAGCCAAGACAAGTTACTTTGTACAGACCAAAGGTCAGTTTTATGTTATCCGATACGGTAACATGAATGCATGTGAGCCACCTCTTTGTAAATTCTGTATTGTTAGCCAGGCACGGGTGAAAAGTCAATATAATAACAAAAATAAATATATATAAATGTATAATGTTATGAGATTTAAGCTATTTAGTCTAAACATTTATGTTTTCATGTTATAATTTGTATTTCTTAGGGACCGAGCCTGTGCTGAAAGAGTTAATATAACTCAATGCAAAAGTATCACACATATCAACACAAGAACCATATTACAAAGTAATGTTTACTGCACCAGTCCATAATTCAAGCAGCATTTGAATATACCCTTTTACCAACAGGAGGGTGACACATCCTCCATACATAGTACTCCCCTTAAGCACATGTTGTATTTATCAAATACCCTTCCACAAATAGGAAGGTGACACATCATACATAGGTAGTACTCCCTTAAGCACATGTTGTATTTATCAAATACCCTTCCACAAATAGGAAGGTGACACATCATACATAGGTAGTACTCCCCTTAAGCACATGTTGTATTTATCAAATACCCTTCCACAAATAGGAAGGTGACACATCATACATAGGTAGTACTCCTCTTAAGCACATGTTGTATTTATCAAATACCCTTCCACAAATAGGAAGGTGACACATCATACATAGGTAGTACTCCCCTTAAGCACATGTTGTGTTCATCAAATACCCTTCCACCAATAAGAGGGTGACATCCTTCATATGTAGTACTCCCCTTAAGTACATGTTGTGTAAATCAAAAGCTCATTCTTTTCCTCAGCACTGCACTGATTTAGTCATTCTTATTTTTAGAAATTACAGAATTTTTGTGTTTATTATTTTCAACTTTTAATTAACGTTTTTTGTATATTATTTTCGACTTTTAGTTAAATTGTTTTTGTTTATTATTCTCAACTTAATTAACTTTCAAGGTGTTATCCCTCTTATCTTTTGATACAATTTTAAAAATTTCAGTTAGAAGTTCTGATACAAATTATTGTCTTACTTTAATTTGATTTCTTCTCATAACCAAACAATGAGATTTTGATACACATGTTTAAAGTCTGTGATATGTTTTTTTGACAGGAATATTCCCATCATTATTAACCCAGTATTCTGTTTTCGATAATTGATCTCAATTTTTCTCATTACAACACTGACCAAGGCATACATATCATGAACATACCATCAGCTTGATCATGTTTTCCGCTTCTTTGCTTCTTGGAAATCCTGAAGCCTTTATCTCTTCCATCTCAGAGATCCCTTTTTACATCAGCCTTGTCCATTTTTCACTATGATGTTCTATGCCTTCATCTATACATGTAGCTTTTGTCAAGTTCCATGAAGACGGACGAACCCCCTGCAAGATCAATGCTAGTCCATTTGCCATTCCTTCTTCTATGTTGTCTGCTCTTCCTCATCTCATTTTCTTTTTTTTTTGCCTGGTTTTTGGGTGGTCTAATTGTTTCTTCAATCATCAATTATAGTTCAGTTTTAACTGCAACTTTCCATCTTTTTCTTACCCATTATCTTTCTCTTTCCTTGGTTCTTATAGACCTATTACAAGCCTTTCTACTCAATCATCCTCTTTATCCAGTTCCTCTTCTGGACAGGAAACTGTTTAGTTCTCAAGGCTCTTGCGCATCCTCCATTTAAACCTTTGGCCACCTAATCCTCGTGCCATCTTTCTCTTATGACATACATATTCTCCTTCTCCTTTGCAGAAGACAGCATTCTGATTGATATTTTTGCCTTGGCACCTCCTATATTCTCTACAAAAGGGACAAGTTGATTGTTTTTCTATACTGCTCCTTCCTTCCCAAGAATTGGACTGCTTGGTTCTGTTATTAGATGTTTTATCCAAGCACCCTTTCTTCTCTATATGACTGTTCAGGCCCTGATCATCTCCACCATCGTATTAAGGCATTTTGCTGTTATCTGACTTACACTGCTCCCTTTCAAAGCAATCAACATAGTCTTTGTTTTGACATATGATTTCTCTTCTTCTCGTAACATATCTCCTTCTACATTTTACTAGTTTGTTAAAACAACTCATCCAGCTTCTCTATACTTCTGTGGGGGTTGATTCCTTTCATCTTTTTTCATGTCACCCCAAATAAAGTTTGTCATCTCATGGCTTCTTTTGAATCTAGCTGTTGATATCCCATAGATGTGATAATGCAGCTAGGATATGAACAACCCTCAATACATTCTTGTCACATTCATTACACCACACTGCCATTTATTTTGCCTTTGGATTTAATCTCTCTCTGCTTGTGATACTTCAGCCTTTCCAGAGGCTCTAAAGAGGTAACTTGGTGATTCTTTACTCTTGCAGACTCCACAAAAAAGCATCCATATCAAACTACAAAAACACACACATACATACATACATATTGTAGACAATGGAACCCCCCAAGTGGCTGGTGTTGCCTCACAGGGAATACATTTCTCTCTCCTCCAAAATGTGTATCAAGTAGGGGATAACAGACAGTGTTAAGTTCATTTGTCTCCAAGCTCAGTGCCAACTGTTCAGATGGGGTTTTCCACCAGACAACAGCTTGAAGAGTTTATACATTTTATCTTCCAAGCTGTAATGAAACTTCAAAAACAACAACAACAAACTACAATACTGGGTGTGGTTCCCTGCCCTCTCACCTGGTCACCTCCCGCTGTCCCTATTTGCAGTAACCCATTGCACAGTGGGACCTTATGGAGGAAAGATAAAATTTCTGTTTGGTTGATAAACCTCTCTCCCCTACAGAAAGTTCTCCCTCCTATTTTCTTCTAGCAGAGTGAAAGAACCTTTCCTTCCCCAGTATTAAGCCACTGGGGAGAAGGTCAATATGGAAAATTCACTTTTCCATCAGTGCAACCTCACTGGCATGAGATAAGGTGAGCAAAATTGGAGGTAATGCTAGGGTGTTTAATTAGAATAATAGTAGTAAAGGTCACCCCTATATTAACAGCCAGACCATTTAAATTGGTTGTGTCAGCTGAATGGATGTTGCATTTTCCTCAAGATGAAGATCTGAGATGATTTATCCTTGCACCTGCTTTTTCTAGTTGGTATTTCACATAAGTATTTCTCAAATACTCTATGGCTTAACTTATTGCCCTAGACACAATATACATACATGTTCTGCCAAATGCCTGAGACATAGAGGTAAGTTAAACAGCCTTTACATTCCACCCACCTACACAGCATCATGTAAAAGGTTCTTTTGAGAGTAACATTTCCTCTGTCACTTCTATTGTGCAAAGAGAAGTCCTTGCATGAGATGGATGTGGTCTCCTACCTGGTGATGTCCCAGTAAGTTCCTCCAATTCGTGAGTGACACACTCCATGAGTTTTCCTTCGTGTCACTTTCTCTCGGAAAGAAGCTCATTTATTTTTATTTCTTTATCCACACCAGTCCTTCCACAATCTTCTCAATGTGAAATTCAAGCTATATATTCTGTGGAGAGGCAAACAGGACTTCTGAAGTTAATATTTCCTTACCTGAAAATGTATTTCAAATAGATACTCACCTCTCCACAGAATTACACACCCTCTCTCTCACTTCACTTCTGGTGTGTCAATTTTGCTTTACCAATAATAAGCATTTCATAAAATACAATGTGTTCAAGAGGAGTATGGCACATGACGTGTTTAACTTGTGTTGGAGAAGGGCTATAGTGTAATGGGGATTGCATCTTAGATGGGAAACATACAAGTTATCATCTGTAATGTGAGAGTTCCATTCAATGGCTAGGCACATGATGTGTTTAACTTGTGTTGGAGAAGGGCTATAGTGTAATGGGGATTGCATCTTAGATGGGCAACATACAAGTTATCATCTGTAATGTGAGAGTTCCATTCAATGGCTAGGCACATGCACAAAAACACTTCAGTAGTGATAAAAGGTAATAGCTATCTGTTCTGTTGATGGGTGAGTAGCATTTCTGAAGTTACAAATTCCAGGCTGTTGATTTAAATAAATGTTTTACATCTTATCACACTAACAGACTCTTGAATGTTGGTTTAAATATATTTCACATCTTAACAAAGTCACTGGTTCTGGACTAATAGTTAAATATACGTTTTTACATATTATCAGAGTAACAAGTTATGGACTAATAGTTAAATATACTTTTTTACATTTTACCAAAGTAACAAGTTATCTTTTGTATTTTACCAAAGTAACAAGTTATGAGCTGTTGGTTTAATCTATCTTTTGCATTTTACCAAAATAACAAGTTATGGGCTGTTGGTTTAATTTATCTTTTGCATTTTACCAAAGTAACAAGTTATGGGCTGTTGGTTTAATATATTACTTGAATATTACTAAAGAGACAAATTATGGGCTTTTGGTCAATTGGTTAAATATACTTTTACATTTTATAAAAGTGCCACACTTTGGACTGTTGTTTTAAATATGTTTTTTACATCTCACCAAAATAAACTCTGGTCTGTTGGTTTAAATAGATTTTTGAACATCACCAATGAAACAAGTTCTGGGTATTTGTTAAATACATTTTTTTGATATTTCACAAATATAACAAACAAAGGGCTGTTACTTTAAATATGCTTCTTTTATATCTTACCATAGGATCAAACTTTTGGCTATTGGTCAAATATACATTTTACATCTTACCAAAGTTACAAGTTCTGGGCTGTTGGGATTGTGCTTATCAAAGTAATTTATTGCTCTCTGTAATTTATCCACACTTTTCAGAAACTCTTCCAGACAGTCCATTGGGCTGTTGAGATTATACAAAACAAATAACATACTGTAATATGAGATTACACAAAATAAATAATATACTGTAATATGAAATCACACAAAACAAATAAAGTACTGTAATATGAAATGAGACACAAAAATAATGTACTGTAATATGATATTACACAAAAATAATATACTGTAATATGAGATTACACAAAACATATAATATACTGTAATATGAGATTAAACAAAACATATAATGTACTGTAATATGAGATTAAACAAAACATATAATGTACTGTAATATAAAATTACACAAAACATATATCATGCTTTAATATGAAATCACACAAAACAAATAACGTACTTTAATATTAAATTACACAAAACAAATAATGTACTGTAATATGAGATTACACAAAACAAATAACGTACTGTAAAATAAAATTACACAATTACTGTAAATATAAACAACACTTTCAATACTCATTAATATTGGTGTCTTTTTTTATGCACAAATAAAAAGAACTAACAGGTGTATGAAGACATTAAATAAAAAATAGAAAATCCTGTTGAAGAAGGCTTAATGTAGTACTGGACTACAATGAGCTTCCAGAGTAGCACTAAATATATTTATCAGTAAAGCAGCAATACATATTACATGATTCTCCAAGATGAGCTGTCTTCAACTGTTTTCAGACATATTGATGTGATATGAAATCGATGTTAAGGAATTGATCTACACCAACCTGACAGGACTAACATCTGTGTAGTTCATAAATTATCCTGCTCTCTGTTGCAGTGGCTAGAATATATCCAGAGTAATAGAAAAAGTAACCAATTCCTCATGAAACTAGGGTGTTTGTTTATTTGGGTTGAGAAGGTAACATGTATCTCATAAAACCAGAGTGTTTGTTTATTTGGGTTGAGAAGGTAACATGTATCTCATAAAACCAGAATGTTTGTTTATTTGGGTTGAGAAGGTAACATGTATCTCATAAAACCAGGGTGTTTGTTTATTTGAGTTGAGAAGGTACCACATTCCTCATGAACCCATGTTGTTTACTTGGGCTGAAAAAGTAACCCATCCTTCATGGAACCAAGGTGTTCATGTGGGTTAAAATAGCAACCCATCCTTCATGGAACCAGGGTGTTCATGTGGGTTAAAATAGTAACCCATCCTTCATAGAACCAGGGTGTTCATGTGGGTTAAAATAGTAACCCATCCTTCATGGAACCCGGGTGTTCACTTGCACAGAAAAAGTAACACATCCCTCCTGAAAGTAGGGAACATACTTACTTGGGTTGAGAATGTAACATGTCCATCAGGAAACCACAGGATATGTGCTTACTTGGGTTGAGAATGTAACATGTCCCTAATGAAACTAAGGTGCTTAGTTACTTGACTTGACTCACCAGACCACATTTTGTAACTGATCTAATCTAGCAGTCTCTGATCACTGCTCAAGCAATGCCTAAAAATGTATTTTTTCCAGAGCAATATGCACCTTTTCTACCATGGTAGCTTGTCTACTGGTGTATAACTTTTCTACCATGGTAACTTATCTACTGGAAACATGTGTATAGCTTTTCTACCATGGTAACTTATCTACTGGAAACATGTGTATAGCTTTTCTACCATGGTAATTTATCTACTGGAAACATGTCTATAGCTTTTCTACCATGGTAACTTGTCCACTGGAAAGATGTGCATAGCTTTTCTACCATGGTAACTTGTCTACTGGAGAGATGTGTATAGCTTTTCTACTGTGATAACTTGTGTACTGGAAAGATGTGTATAGCTTTTCTACCATGGTAACTTGTCTACTGGAAACATGTGTATAGCTTTTCTACCATGGTAACTTGTCTACTGGAAAGATGTGTATAGCTTTTCCACCATGATAACTTGTCTATTGGAAACATGTGTATAGCTTTTCTACCATGGTAACTTGTCTACTGGAGAGATGTGTATAGCTTTTCTACCATGGTAACTTGTCTACTGGAGAGATGTGTATAGCTTTTCTACCATGGTAACTTGTCTACTGCAAAGATGTATATAGCTTTTCTACCATGGTAACTTGTCTACTGCAAAGATGTGTATAGCTTTTCTACCATGGTAACTCCACAGGAAAGATGTGTATAGCTTTTCTACCATGATAACATGTCAACTGGAGAGATGTGTATAGCTTTTCTACCATGGTAACTTGCCTACTGGAAAGATATATATAGCTTTTCTACCATGGTAACTTGTCTACTAGAAAGATGTGTATAGCTTTTCTACCATGGTAACTTGTCTACTGGAAAAATGTGTATAGCTTTTCTACCATGGAAACTTGTCTACTGGAAAGATGTATATAGCTTTTCTACCATGATAACTTGTCAATTGGAAAGATGTTTGAAGCTTTTCTACCATTGTAACTTGTCTACTAGAGAGATGTGTATAGCTTTTCTACCATGGAAACTTGTGTACTGGAAAGATGTGTATAGCTTTTCTACCATGGTAGCTTGTCTACTGGAGAGATGCATATAACTTTTCTACCATGATAACTTGTGTACTGGAAAGATGTGTATAGCTTTTCTACCATGGTAACTTGCCTACAAGAGAGATGTGTATAGCTTCCATACTGTGATAACTCGTGTACTAGAAAGATGTGTATAGCTTTTCTACCATGGTAACTTATCTACTGGAAACATGTGTATAGCTTTTCTACCATGGTAACTTGTCTACTGCAAAGATATGTATAGCTTTTCTACCATGATAACTTGTCCACAGGTAAGATGTGTATAGCTTTTCTACCATGATAACTTGTCCACAGGTAAGATGTGTATAGCTTTTCTACCATGATAACATGTCAACTGGAGAGATGTGTATAGCTTTTCTACCATGATAACTTGTGTAC